TATATATATGTATATATATGTATATGTATATGCCCCCATAATTTCCTCTAATGATAATTTAATGAACTTGTCAAAAACACCGTAACCTATATGACCCGGTCCAGTTGCCATAGAATGTTTTTGATTTTCGCCTTGACTGATGTTGCGTGTGTGTGAAGAACCGAATGTTCTAAAAAAATCAATAAATGTGCGCTTCTTAATCAGACCTGTGACTGCAAGACTGCGGTCAACTCAGCAGACACTTCAACTTTAGTGTACCTCTATGCTGAAATTCACGGTAAACGCATTCAAACGGCACAGATCGGGAGCGAGCGAAGGACTTTGAAAGATTAACGTGAGACAACATCCGGTTTTCAGAATAAGATGCCAACAAAGTATACATATTGCATAATGGAAATTAGATTAAATTAATTATATTCACATTAAGTATAAAACATGCTACCTGTATCTGAGAATAAAATTGAATATGATTGTCTGATTTATGTTTGTTTTTTGTTCAAAAAAAATCTAAGAAAACACTTTGAATCTGTAGACTACTGCCTAATAGTCTTATTATTGCCATTTGATGACAATTGCTCATATACTGTAAGCCTAAATAAGTATGTTTATTATTTTGAACAAAGGTTAAATGTTATTTCACAAGTTTCAAAAAGTGCCCCCAAGTTTTTTTTAAATGCCCCTGGATTTCAGTCAGTGGGGGTGTGGTGAAGCCTGACCGGAGTGGCTTCTGAAGTGGTAGGAGGCAGACACGAGAGACTTTGTTCCGATATCAAAAAGGTGTTTTATTTATAAAAGTGGCCTGCTACACGTGTAACCAAACATATATACAAACAAAACAAACGTTTGTCTTAACTTAGTTTAACTGAATAATACTCAACTCATCATACAGTAACATAATCACGTGCACACAGCTACACACTGATTTTCATTCCCCCTGTTCAGTCAAAGTCATCTCATTATATAGGTTACACCCCAAGTCTCTTAATTGTCATTTCCTTGCTCCTCGATCCTCACTTGAACCGGAAGTTGTTTCTGCCCTGCCATATTGACGGCCGTCCCAAAGCTCTAATGTAGCTCGGAGGAGCGAGGATCGAGGAGGGACCTCGGAGGAGCCATGACCGAGGACCCACGAGAACAGACTTCCAGGAAGTCTTTTAACGGCCGACACGCCCCCTCATTGTTCATCAGTCATGTGATTGGCCGCTGCAGCCGATCGGACTGACTGACTGGAGTTTAACACCAGAGTGAAGACAGATCACAGAATAAACTCAAGCTTTATATTTGATTAGGTTTGTGATTCAACATCTGGTTTAAATAAATGTTCATTGTAGTCTGAACAACAAAAGGACCACAAACAACTTTCTTCATTTATTAGAAAGATTTGTGTTTTCATGATCTGATGTTTCCCTCAATAACTTTTATTATGGAAACAATTAAAGTGAGAGAGAGCTGGAGAGACGAAACACTTTTTACATTATTCCTGAGTGTTTGATGAGTTTTATCTTTTAAGAGAAACAATAATCCTCTTCTGGGTTATTTAATGATGACGCCACAGTCACAATTTCAAAACATACAGACGCAAATAATTCATAAATAAGACGATCGCATTCCGCCGGTAGAAATGGATCCTGCGCTTATAAACAGAACACAGGACACAGTTTGTTAACAGGCTACAGAGAGAGACACCTCTACAGTGTGATAACTGTGTGTCTTTATTAGTTATTAGTATTATTAGTTACTATTATTAAGTACAGTGATCACGTGACACAAACGTATCAAAAGTCTCTCCAGCTGTTAAAGCCGACTGACAGCTGATCCAGCTGTGATCAGCTGATCCTCCGTCATCAGAAACAGACGTCGCTTCACGTGACGCAAAGGACGTCTCACGTCTCTTAAAACATATTTCCTCGTTCCTCTCTCCTTGCATGGTTTCCTCCATGCATCCCTGGTGGGTGGGACTAAGACGCAAGGAAAGGACCCAAGTGAGGGAAACGGGGATGCAATTAAGAGACTTGGGATGTACCCATAGAGCCTCCTGTCAGCAGGATCTAGATCCTACGATGAGTGCAGGTGACACCAATTACTGACTCCAATAGTTACCAGACAAAACCTATACCTTACAGCACCCCTTTAGGTAGCCAACAATTTGATATGCTTTACAATTTGCTATAAACTCACAACAATGTAAAAAAGATCACAACTAACCTACAAATCTACCTGTACATACTCTACTCCCCCCCATACTTGGTTTGACCCAATGACATCACTGATGACATCATCCAGTGGATAAATAGAGGAAATGTTTGGGTGCCTTCCCCTTTAACCTCTGGAACACATGGTGGGTATGGTACACAAACAATTGACTCACATGGTTTAGATTTATAGATGAATGTAATATGGGACAAATGGTGTGTTCTCACCCACTTTGTCACAGGGGGCAGAAATTGCTGCAGAACAGAATGGTCCGGGTCAAGTGAGACTGCAAAACAGAATAGTTGGGGGTCACAATGCCTCAGCACGACTTGACCGGGTTCGCTCAGACCGGGAAATGCAAAATTATGTCAAACTTGACGGGTCAACTCAGACCGGGAAATGAGAAAATTGGGCAACCGTCGGACTGGGAATCCTCCAGCATGCAGACTCTGAGGACGTGGTGGGTTGGCTCCTCACCGAGGCGGGGTCTGCCAGGTCTCCTGTCAGACTGAACCGAGGGAGACGATAACCTGGAGGACACAATGAGCAGAGGTTTGTCTTTGAAGCTCCTCCTACTTTTGTCTGAGAACAGCTGATTTAAATCTGTCATCACAAAATCCTCAATTTAAAAAAAGAGATTCAGCGTATTAAATGAGTTTGTCGAATTTAGATTGTCTTCTTTCCGACGGTCCTTGAACACATCATGTGTGACGAATGCTTCAACTGTGATATTTCATCAAAAACATTTTATTCTACATGTTCTCATTTAAAATCTCGCCACGAATAAACCGTCAATCAGATTGTGTAAAAAATAGTGCTGGGCAAGTTAATGCATTATCGCCTTAACGCATTCATTAATTAACGCCGACAATTATATTATCGCGTGTTAACGCAGTTTTATTTTAATTTTTTTATTAAGCGGACATGCGAACGCGCGATCGTCTTGTTACAGGATCGTGACGAGCGGTGAACAGCTGTTTGTGTGGCATCTCTTCCGTCTCTTCACCTACATTCCCCTGGGTCCTAACTCCCTCCCTGTACAGCTTCTTATCACCCTCTATGTACCAACGTACATTTATAACAAATACCACACATATTACATAGTAATCAGCGTTACATATGTGTCTGACCAAAATAGCAAAAAAAGCTAAAAATGAATGATTCTTTTAAATTTTCTTTTTTTGAGTTTTTAAAGTTTTGTTTGGAATATGTATAATAATCATATCATTTAGTTATCGCTACTGACAATTTAACAAACATAAAAACATGATGTAGATAGGTTTGCAGTTTTCAAGGTGTATATTTCAAATTGCATCTATTACACACATTAAGATAAAGTTGTGAACACCGGCTGAATATCTGTTATCAGAATCATTATAACTGTATTATAACTGCTACTGTGTAAATACTGCTGTTAAAAAGCACCTTATTTGTTTGAAGTGTTTGCAAACCAAATGTTGTTGCCCTTTTGTTCATATAGCAGTACTTTTAAAATAAAAGTGCGCAATACTTTTGAATTCATAAATGAACTTTGCGCAATACAATGCGATGAATCGCAAAAAAATCAGGCGATTAATCGCGATACAAAATTCTAATCGTTGCCCAACACTAGTAAAAAACATTAAATTGTGAGCTCCTCAGTGAAACTATGAAGTCATGATTGATTCATCTGAGACCAACAGTCATGTGACAACAAATCAGAGAAACTTTGACTGAACTTCAGGAAGTGAACACAGAGGAGAGGAGAGGCTAAAAGTAGAGGATGTTAAAATGTAAATAGTTTAATATTTATAGCCATAGAGCCTCTATTTATTTCCACGATTCCACCATTCTAACTGTTATTCTGCACTAACGACATGTTCTAGTTCTCTCTACTTCTAGTCATGATGGTTATGTTTCCATAGAGGAGCAGGACTTCTATTTATTACAGATAAAAATATAACTCGTCAGTTTGTTCAACATAAATAAAGTGACGGCGTCTCGACGGATTTTTCTTTAGGACAGAAACAATCTAATTCTACACGTAGTAAAAATGATAATACCAATAATATTATTGTTTCAAAAATAATTTCTTTAAATGAATCAAAATGTTTCCGACACTTAAACAAAAACAGACTTTTGTCTAAATTATCCAGTAAATATGTTATTCTGATTTTAGTTATACAGGTTATTTATTTTTATTCAAGTGTTTTTTTTCCTGTGGGATGACGACGGCATGTTCGGGACATTTTAGGTTAAGAATAATAGTAGTTACGTCGTGGCCGAGCCGGACGGAGACACAGCAGGTCTCTGCAGACCCTGAAGGTCTTCACTGCTGCTCTGAGGATCCTCTCTGCTCTGAAACAAGAGTTCAAAGCTCACATCTCACATTTTAACGATCGGGCTGGTTTCTCTTCATTTATTTTTTTCCTGAAATCAAAGTCTCAGCTCTCATCTCAATGTAAATGTTCCACCGTTAGCTAGATAGCTAATTTTCTACCTCATGTTAGTACACAGACCAGAGGAAACTATGTGTATATGTATGTGTATTAACTGTAGAATTTCTATGTGATAAACAATACCATCACTGCTGTATTTATTTCTAGATTAAGTTATTTTGAGTGTTGATGGAGCTGCTACAATGTTAGCTTAGCATAGCACAGATCAAAACAAACTCCATTCAGAAAACAACCAGTTTAAAAGTCGTTTGCTTGTCGTCTTGCAGAGAGAAAATATAAAACATGAATTCAGACTTTTAACAAATCAACATGTCGCTATTTCTACATCTTTTTTTATCTGCTTATTGCGATTTAATTACAGCTAAATCTTCATATGTTTTAGTAAACCAGCTGACTCGTGACTCACCTTCAGGTGGATGAAGAGGGCAGAGTTTCCTCGTCCGGAGAGCCTGTTGTAGTCTGTTGTACTGTGGACCACTGTTCTCAGGGGTGGCCTTCACTCCTGTAACACACACCTTTGCCAACCCATCCCCCACTGTTGACATCAGTGGTCTGGGAGGATGCTGATTGTCGGCTTGATTCTAAAACCAACTCCAGCTGGATTTACATTGACATTCTGTGTAACTTCTAGCAAGGTGAAATACATCTTTTGAACTAACAAAATCCATGTTGCACACCTCACAGCAATTTTGGTTTTCTATGTTCTCATGATTTCATTCATTCAAAATGGTACCTGTAGATATTCAAGGAAAACTTTGTTTTCTACAGAAACTACAGCAGAGATATCTGTTTTGCCAAATAATCTGTCAGAAGTGGGGTTTGAACCACACCTCCATTTGGAGACCAGAAGTCTCTTTGCTGAGGAAGGAGTGAACCCTTGAGTCTGGCGCCTTAGACCACTCGGCCATCCTGAC